GGGTAATGCAGGATTTGTATCAGCAGCAGTACCCATGAAGCTGCAAGCTCCCATGGCTTTTCTGGCTCCAGCGGAGAGGGTTCCTGGCTCGCAAAAGCTTCCAAGAGACTTCCGAGACCATGGTGCGCATCAGCGTCCTCCGAGACTGCCTGTGTTTCGACATGGATTATGGGGTGTCGGGTAGGGTTTAGGGTTTACGGGGTTCGGGTGACGGCGTTCAGGGATCAGTGCCTTTGGGGAAATCTCTTCTTTGAACTTTTTTGTGTTCTTCCTCACACCTGCAGAGACAGACAAGGAACAACATCGTGAATGCCGAGAAGCGCGGCAAGCGTCAGGTTCTCATCAGGCCGAACTCCAAGGTCATCATCAAGTTCTTGCAGGTGATGCAGAAGCACGGTTACATCGGCGATCTCGAGTTGCTGGGCGGATCATGTAATTTCGTAGTAGTCATTAGCCGTTTGTGACACTCGCGGGGCAAGTTTCGAACCTAGAATACGTAATGATAGTGGGATCCGGACTTGTTGGAGTCCTGATCACCCAGGATCATTGACGACCACCGCGCAGGAAAGGTTGTTGTGGAGCTCATCGGCCGCCTGAACAAGTGCGGCGTGATCTCCCCCCGCTTTGACGTGCCACGGCTTTGTCATGTCCAGAAGGAGTAATTATGAGTAATGTAGGAACCTGATTGGGAAACCATGGCCCTATAACCCCAATACATTAGGATTCATATAACTAAGAAGAACCCTACAATGAAGACCCAAGGGTTTCTTGATCCGGTTCCTATGTTAATCAGATCAGTTCTACCACCACCAGACTGCCTCCATGCGGCAAGCTGAATCCCCGAGTGTTTAGAGCAATGCGGGGCCCCATAACCAGTAGAGCCAAGGACCTTGCTGGAAGAGTTCCGACTAGGGTAGCTACACAGATATTTACCTAGAGCTCTAGTTGAGGGGCTCATAACACTGCTTGCTAAGCTCCCTGATCCCTAGAGTGCGGGACTCCACCGAAGTCAGCATTTAACAGGGTGTGCGGGTTTAGGGTTTAGAGATTGGGTGCCCCGAGCCTAAACCGACATCCGGCGGCACAGTTGCATGACAAAAGGGCCATGCACCATGAAGAAAGCACACCCTAAACCCTAAACCCTAAACCCCTAAACCCTAAACCCCTAAACCCTGAGCCCTAAACCCTAAACCCTAAACCCTAAATCCCTAAACCCTTAACCCTTAACCCTTGAACCCTAAACCCCTAAACCCTGAATCAGGTCTCCGTGGAGGGGATCGAGCAGCTCGCCAGCGATCTGCTTCCGTCCCGACAGTTCGGCCACCTTGTTCTGTCGGCACCTGAGATGATTAGGGATTAGGGTTTAGGGTTTAGGGTTTAGGGATTAGGGTTTAGGGTTTAGGGTTTAGGGATTAGGGTTTAGGGTTTAGGGTCTAGGATTCCCAGAGACTCCAACACGATTAAACTTGCTATGTCTAGAATCTAGAACAGCAACAGAAGCTACGACGAACAATGATAACCCTCGTAAAGGTACTAATACTACTACGGATACTGATGCTAATACTAATTAATGCTAGTGCTGATGCTCATGCTCACATTGATGCTAAGCCGATAGTAATTGACAGCTACAAGGATAAAGACATAGACAATGTCGAGATCTATTAATTGAGGCCCCCCCTTCCCCCCCTTGTCACGGAGAGTGCTGTGCCATACTCTTTACTATTTCTTGATTGAGGATCCGGGGATGGGGGATTCTGGTTTAGGTATCTCTTGTTTGGTTCAAGATTATCGGCTTAATCTTCGACTTTCAATAGACCCTAAAGTGGGCCATAGTTGGGAGCCAATATCTTTTCAAAACCCTGCCCTCAATTCTTTTCGCCCCCCTCCCTGAGCTTTCGGCGTTCAGCGTCTAGGGTCTATGAGAGGCCCTAGTTTGAATAGGATTTGTGGTCGATTACCGGATACATCTACACAGGTTCTGGCTTTGCTACAAAGGGATCCCGTAAACCCTAAACCCTACACC